CCAAATGTGAAGTAAAATTTAAGTCCAGATCTAGTTTTTGTACCAAAAATTTGTGCTAGGGGTTTTGTGCCAAAAATTTATGCTTGGTTTAAAGGATTTTCAGTATTCTGAAAATAACTACAATTACAGTGGCTCATGGAAGAAAACTACACTATAAAAATACCTAATCAATTGCGGTATATTGTTACCTTATATTCATTACATTAAATAGACTTTAAATCTAATTAATTCATTTAACAACATAAATTTTATGCAAGAAGAAAACAGCTTTAAATTTAATCAAGGAAAAATGTATGTTTTTGGAACTTCTGAACTTTTGCTTAAACCAGATGTGAATGTTGGGCATATACATGCAGGTAGAACTCCCCTTGAAAGTAATGGGAATTACATTCCTTAACTACAGGGAGAATAGACCTCCGAGAATAAATCTTTAAGCATTCAAGAGGCATATGCCATTTGCTTTCAAAGCTAATATGAGCAATCATCAAGACAACCATCATTACTTAACTATCTCAATAAACTTGACCAAAACTTTTCTGTGTGACAGCAGTTGTTTGCCTTTTTTTTTTTTTCAGATATACACGCAGAGATTTTTTTTCCCCTGACAAATATAATGCTCAGTTTCATTTTACCCACAGCTCAGCCTTCCTTGCCAAATATAACAGAATGTTATCAGATTTAGGTTTCTGAATAATGAAAGCAAGAATGACACCTTCAGTCTCCTTTAGTCTGAAACTTCCAAATACCTGAATTTTTGCAAGTAAGAGATCTAAGTGTGGGAACTGCAGTCTATACACCTTCTATCTCCACTACAGTGCCACAGAGAAAATGCAGCTCAGATGTGGACTTACCTTTATTACTCTCTGAAACATAAAATAAATATTGTAAGTCGCTTAATAAAACTATTTGCACTGGATCTGTTATTTGGCACAATTTATCTGGAACTTCACATGATATTCCTTTATAAAAATTAATTCTGGACAGGATTTTGCACTGCATCTTAACCGTATCTAATTTTTATATTCCATAGCAGAGTTGAGGTTGTCCAAGCAGGTCCAATATGTTTTAACTTTATTACGATTACTATAAAGTCTCTAGAAACACATCTAAAATTGTCTTGACAATTTAAACAAAAGCAGATCTATATGGGATCTGTAATTGTACTGTGCTACATGATTTAAGCTGGCTAATAGTGAGCACACACTGAGCAGCTGAGAATGAAAAGACTATGTGTGCTGGGAAAGAGAAGGGAGAGCAGAAGAAAAGGTTAATAAAAAAAATGTATTTCTCTTTTCTTGCTGAAAATTAAGCCTCCTATTTACCTATATCATTGTACTGATACATGCAGACAAGGCAACATGTATTATATAGTTATTTCTTTTAGTCATCCTATAATACTTCTGTTTTTCTCTTCTGTTTTACCATTTTGCATATTTACATCTCTATCCCTGTTACACAAACATAAATTTTTCATTAAATGTGGAAATACTTTATTTAAGGTACTAAGTAAAATGACTGCCTTACCTAAAAATTAGTGTTAAAGGTAATACCTCAAAACCCCAAATATAATATTTACAAGACTTTTACAAACAGAGGTTTCAACTGGTTAATATAACTAAAATGATGATAATAAAAAGGGAATAATGACCAGAGCTACATAAAAAAAAATCAGGTTACTTTTATCAGAAGCCTTTAAGTGAACTAAGTTTATAATAAGCAAGCAGCTAAACTTGGTATGACTCACGATTATTTTTTATTCAAAATATAGAATCAAGTGAAAGACCATGAAAGAAAGCTACAGAAATTTCAAGACTATTGCCACTCTAATAAAGAGATTTCAAGTTGTGCCTATAGCTTATACAAGATCATCTTTTTATTAAAGAACTCCCGAAGGTAAGTTATAGCATTCACAGAAATCAAACCTAGCATATTTTTGCACATTTTCATTCAATATGGTTAAGTCAGAGTTGTGATTTAGATGCTCAGCAGATCCCAGCTCTACAGTGTCGTTACACTGTGCCTTGGAACTGAAGCTCTTCACTAGCCTAATAATGATAAGGGCTACATAGGATTTGCACGAGTGATGAGAGTCGTAAATGCACGGCAGAGACCACAGTTCACGGTGGGTGTCAGGCATTGCACAAATATGAAAGTTACATACATTTTTTATAGGTAACAAATATTATAGTCACTAGGAAAATTTCTTACAAATGAAGGAGATGGAAATTTTGAGTTAGTAATTTACATAACAACCCTTCCTAAGTATAAAGGTTATATGTTTAATTACATTCTTGGGGGTCCCCAAAAAACTCAACCAAACTATCGCTTTCATCTTCACATAATAAAAAGCTATGAAACAGGCTGTTAACTGAATTAAGTGCCACAAGGTCATGAAATAAAAGAACTGTTTTCTTCTTTTCTTCTTTCTTTTTTTTTTTTTTTCAAGAGAGAAAACAGTTTACAAAACAGAAAAAGACTTGTTCAGTGAAACAATCAGCTTTAGTTACAAGTGCAAAAGTCAGCCATGTGTACTAATTCTCAGTAATTATGATGCAAAGCGAACTCCTTGGGGACTTAAAAGTCAACGCCTGGCAATGGTTGGGCAAACAGCAGAGTGGAGCTAGTCAGGTGATACTGACCCTTTCAAAGCCCTTTGTGTTACTGAACAACCCAAACCATCCAAGTATCTGCTTGTCCTCCCTTTCTTAGGTGAATACAAGCTGGTATCTAAAACATTACAATCTAGAATGCATCCCAGCGAACAGCTCTTGCACAAGCAATGAATACACTCTAAGGAAACTGAAGCACCGAAGAAGGAAAATTTAAATCTGTGTTTGCAACACAAACCCATCTGAGACTTAGATGTGGAAAGCGGAAAGGTGGTAGGGCAGTTGTCTTATAAAATTCATCTTAGTTGGCTTCCCCATTTTAAACTCCAACACATTATGCACTCCTGTCTTCTTGTGTCCCACATAAGTGACTGCTACATTGTGAAATTAGGTAAAAATTCAATACTGAAAATTTTCAAAAGCATTCAATAGTGTCCTTGCTGCTTCCACAGTGAAATCACAGGTTTCACGATGGCTTAAATGGGGGCAAAAAGTTATGCCAATACAATGCTGAAAGCTATAGGAAAAAAGCCTGTCTTGGGCATCTCATATTTTACACATATCTTTACATCATGAGAAAAAAACTCAACCCCAAAAAAATAGGCACTGCTGGTAATGTGAGTCTCTGTTGCTAGTCTGAATTGGGTTTAAAATTACAAAAAAATCCCCAAAGACCACCTGCACAAGAAACAAGTTACAACCTATCTACCTGGCACCAAACTATGCCCTTAAGTGAAGCATTCCAGTTAAGAGAAAACTCAGGGCATTCTGCCACCATAGGTCTACAGCTACAACTTTATGCAGCATGTCACTGTTAATATTAATTTCTAATATTAATTTCTAATACCAAATAAGCCATCATTCACAGCATGTTTAAAATACATCTCAAACCACCTATCTCTTAAAGCAGATCCTTAGTTTAAAGTGAACTACTGGCAAAAAGCTTGCTGCAGCATTCTCATGAATGACAGGTCTCTATGAAGAGTGCTTTTTGTACTGCATTAAAAAATTCACAGCAGTCTGTAAAATAAAAACTCTAGATCAAATGACATTTTAAATGAAAATTTTGCTGAATTCTCTATGGGTGCTACGTTCATGAGACTTTTTATTAGTAAAAGGGGCAAATACTTTTTACTCTGCGAGCACTTTATTGCATTTTTCCTTCATTTACAGCATGCTTTTCATTTAGGGCTTTAGAGACCCACATTCTTCTCTCCCTCCCCTTCTTTTTTTCTCCCCTGAATGCTCCTAAAGTTACAGAACAAGGGGATCCTACCTGGCAGTCTACAACAGGTCAGTGATCAAACAGAAGGAGCAGTGAGACAGCAGCCAAATCCTGCCCCATCTCCTGAGAATTACAGAAAGCCAGGGCTTCTCAGCCTGCAATGCAACCGAGCCACTGCACCCTGAGGCTCAGATAATCGTAGTTCACTTTCTGCAAGCACATACAGCACAAATCTCTGCACCTACTGAGGTTAAGACACAAGCATTTGTTTTCAAGTTGCTGCTCACTGTAGTTTTCGACACAGGTAGAAGCTGCTTGAAAATGTGACCTCATCTGTCTTACGACAGCAGTAACAAAGACAGACTGAAAATATACCAACATTGCTCTGCCCCAGTGATCAAAGCTGGTTTAAATAAACAGTGTTCTTTATCTGTAGAATGCACTGTTCTTTGAACAACTATTCATTCTACCTAAGTATTTACATTTGCTTGAACAAATCAATACACCAGATAAAGTAAGCGGTAATATATATGAACAGACAGAACTAGACTAAATCGTGAAGAATTATCATTTACCCAGTAATATGCCAGTTGTTCATTAAGATACTACTTTGTAAAAGCAAAACACTCTTAAAAACTTAGTAGGTTTTAAATACAACCTACATTCAGGAATGCATTATGCACTGAGTTAACATTACACAGCCTACGTCTGCTACGAATTCAAAGAAGCATGAGTAGTTTTTGCCATTTCAAAAAGCAAGTATCACTGCAAAAAGTGAAAATTAGTGGGTGCAGTAACACATCAGGAAAGAAGTGACGTGGCAGAGTGGGTGCCACAAAGTAGTAACTAATTATTAACTTCTGGAAAGGTTAGCATGAATCCTCTTTAGGCCATAAGCTACAGCCAACATGAATAAAGACACATTCTTTATTAAGGAAACAAACTCTAAGCTGTGAGAATTATAGAGCACAGTTAAAAGGCATGATGCACAGAAACATTTACCCTTTCATCAAGAATGGATGGCCTATCTAGGAAAGAATTGAGATGCTCTAGTAGAGTCTGCTCTTGAACCGGATCTGTGGTTAAACAGAAGCCTTAGTCCACATAGTTCATCTTACACACTGCACTTTCATGAATCTCATATGAAGGAAATTAAAGATACTTACACAGCCACCAGCAAGAATTTCTGCAGCCAGTGGGACAGAGCCATCTTTACTCATAAACTTATCTCTCACAAAATCATTAACCTTAAAAAACAAACATTTATGAAAGATGATAAATTAAAAGGTCAGAGAAAACATTCATCAGTTGCAAATTCTGTGCAATTGAAAATGCAAATACATCCAGGAAGTTACCAAACTACAAGATACCAAACAAATCTTAGATTTTATATTAAATATTCTAAAGCTATGATTTTCTTTCTAACAAAAATTTGAAGCATAATTCAAATATTTATTATTGAAAAAATATAATTCACTAATTAAATTTAAAATCTGAAAAATATAATGTAATATTTTAGAAGTGCTCACTACATTTAAATATAATATTAAATTAATATCAGAATGTTCAATACTAAGTTTTAACACAATGGCAATACAATTATTAGCATTAAGTACCTTTTGTTAAATTCATACTGCTAACTTTGGTGAATACTAGCTTATCAGTGAATAAACAATACATTACAATTGGGTTATAATACGAAATTCATCAGTGCCTTAAGATCACTCAAGAAATAACAAAATTACAGAAATAAAACATTTAGAAAAAACACCATGCAAACAAGTTCCTTTCTTACCAACAACTGACTACATGCTCATATCATCTCCTGTTGTGCTAGAGTCTTACATACAGGAACCACGTGTAGATAAAAAAGCAAAAGCCCTCCAAGTCCAATAAATAATTATTCATATTAGCTAAGAGGTGAAACTAAAGGCCTGTGCGACTTACAAACAAGGAGATGAGTTGAACAAGTCGAATAAGCCTGTTATATTTTGGAGTGAGTCCAAAAATAAGTTCTCAGGAAGACTCTTAAAATGTACATACATATCTCTGCATGTGACTTGTATGCCACTTATACTGATCACAAGTCAGATATTAACCATTGCATTATGCTTTTTGTAATTAAGTTTGTATCAAGCAAAAATGAAGGAATACACTCTACCATTTGCTGACACACTGAGGATAAAAATCCTTAACAGGCTAATTGTAATTTGATGCCCTTTACACTGTGGAGAAATGTGAAAACCATCCATTTGCAAACTTACAGTAAGTTTTATGGCCTTCTCTGGTGCTACTCCTAATAGCTGTGGTAACAGACCTGTAACATGGAAATAGAGAATTCAAGCCACTGAGTAACTTGGTTTTAAATAAACAAATCAACAAATATACGTAGAGATTCAGCACCCAGAAATGGACAATTTTTACAGCAATTTTGTGCTATTATATTTAATGAGAGTACTTAAACATTCAATTTTGAGAACAAACTTGGTGCTACCACTTCAAGTGCTACCACTGCCTATACATACTGGTTTCTTTATCTTTTTATATCCATACTAGCTCATTTTATGCTTAAACACTAGTTCACATTTGATAACTATGTTTCTGTACTGTCCTAAACTAACATTTATTTTCTGCATCTTCACACAAAAATCAAGGCTTTCTAATGAATTTAGTGAGATACATAATGCACCCCCTTTAAATGCCATAAATGCAGTACCTTTTTCTGGCAAAACAATGGCATTAGATGGCAGAACCCAAGGGGATAGGAATCAAAATAATGCAAAACATTCAAACGTGTATGACTGCATTCTTGAGCTCTTTGCCCCACTAAATCACCAGTTCTTAAAACAAAGGAAGTTATGCTACTTTCTTCCCAGGCACTGAATTTCCTATTTTATTTTGTTAAAAAGTGATGTGCTACAGAACTGGAAATGTGAATTTCTGACTGTCAGCTTCACTTGCTTGAAGTGAACAGTCGATATTTTGTAAACATTTGAATGACAGAGACTAAAAATAGGCAAAGCTTACTAACAAAGCCTGGGGCTAGAATGGTGTTGCAAGCATTCATCAGCATAATGAAATTAGGATACCATCCAGAAATGTGAGAAAATCACAGCAGCTAGAGCTTCCAGTACAGACCCTTTTGTTTTAGTAGCTCAGGCAGCACCTTTGCATATTTTCTACAAAGCCTGACATTTTCACCTATCCATGGTTTTATTTTTGGGAAAACAGACAATTAAGGTTCCACCTCTAAAAGTTAACTTGCTGAGAAGCATTTTCCTGTAAAGCCAAATGTCAGAATAACACAGAGGAAAATATACTCGCACTGGTTTAGTATATTCTTCCATCCTGCTACAATCCATCAGCTTTACTAGTTCCTACTGATGCTCTTAATAAGGAAATGACATTGAAGAAAAGAACCATCTGACTTGTGGAAGCAGGAGGCCCAAACATATTCATATACTAACATCCTTATACAGTACATATACATGCAACATTCACCCAAGACAACTATGACTGAATATTAAAACAAAAGGATACAGTAACACTAAGTTCATATATAGTTGCTCAAAAAAAAAAGAAATTCTGCAGAGTAAGTTAAATTTCAAAATTTGAATTTCTAAACAATTTTACTTGCACAGGTGACTTGAATTCAGACCTCAATGAAATAACACTAAGACACTCAGAATTGTGTAATCAAATATTACATTATATGCTGCACTATGAAGAAAACACAAGAATACACAACAAAAAGGATTTTTTTCATTGCAAAATTATCTTTGTAATTGTTATAATATTTACATCTTGCTATAGGACATGTGTGGCTCTACCTAAACATTACAGATAATGCATTTATATCTTCAGAGACTAAAAAAATGTTCCATATACTTTAAAAGCACACTGCCTAATCCTAACCCAAATCCAGTAGAATTAGAGCAGGTCTGTAAGCAAAAGAACACAGAGATAATTAATTTTAAAATCACATACACATATATTATTACACCCAAGATATATATAACATTACTTTGAAGCCATATTTTATCAAATAAATCACAGAAAAAGATATTCTAAAAAATCAAGATTTGAAATTATAAAGATAGTCCAATTGGTGATGTGTATAAACCTCCAGTTTTAGAAGCAACATAAGCATGACAAATCATTGAACTGATCTGAAGATGGCTTTTTAACTTTTTAGCTCCCAAGACTTTGCACTTGTAAAGGCACTTGTAAAGTCACAGGGAAAATGGGTTTATCTCGGCAGAAGTTATTTTTTCCCACCTGGTTCATTCCTTTTGCACTCAAATCTGAATTGGATGGTTATGACTCAAAACTTTCCATAAAACTTCAAGGTAGAAGAGAAAGAGTAAATAGAGTAGGTAGCAGTTAAAAAAAATAATCCAACAGCAGAAAAACCCAGCTAGACAACCAAAAACCCAGACCCTTTTTCTCTTTTTCTCTCTCTACTTCATACATGATTTTATAATATAAGTTAAATGTAAGTTAAATTTCAGATAATGCTGTGTATGTCTACTGCAGGATAGATTACAATATTTAAAAAAGGTAGCATGGATTTTAAAACTGCATTTTGATAGCCTTGCCAGACATCAGCAAGGCCTACTGTCTCCAGCATCTTAGGAAGGTAGAGGGGTCCTTCATTTGGTCTCATACCTATGCAGTAAAGCCATCTTTAAGTGGTACCTGTGCATTCTCTATGCTATGACCATCAAAATTAAATTCTCTTTTCCTTATTGTTTTGATGGGAGCCCTGAAACACTGTTGAAACATTTCTAAACATGATAAAGATGCTAAGTTTTTAAAGAAAGCAAGCACATCAAGGGTCCCGTATGAAAATGTCATGTTTCCATTGGAGTTATCCTGACATGATGGGAATTTTTCAGTGTTACTGTGCATTAGCAGATCAAATATGACACATACACAGATGGAGAACAGGCTTAGAAATGTCTGACAGTGTCTTAAAACTGCATGCCTTTTATAACACCAGAGAATAACATTTTACACATAGGTAGCCTGCTAGTATAATTCAGAGCAAACATGTTATTCAATGCATTTTTTATATCCAAGGTTTTTTAGTAGCAATTATGATGTACCCCTTCATATCTGACACTGTTGTAGCAGGACTCTATGGGAAGGTGAAGGTATATGCAAGAGAGAGCACCAAGAGCTGCATTCAGTTTGTGACACTGTACAGGTTATTTTCTGAAAGCAGTCTAAATACATTGTGAATATACAATAGCTCATCCAGCCCAGTTGTGATAGTACTGAGTTAAAAAAACCCCTTATTTGGACAAAGTAGTTTTTCAGATGTCTAACAGGGAAACTTCAGTTTCACACTGTGTAACAGATGTAATTTTCCCTTCATATTAGAAAAACCCACTGACTGAAGAGTTGTTGCTCCATCTAGGTAAAATATTTGAAACCATTTGGGCATCTTATAGGAAGGTAGTAATGGAATACTGCCAAATTTTTCCATTACATGATTCACACAAGAAATTGAAATCACCAGTTGCCGTTCAAGTAAAGCTCCCTCAGACTGGAAAGGGGATATTTCTTGAAAACTTTGTGCTTTGACAGAACTCGGGGTACAAGTAGGCTTGTAGTTCCATTCTACAGAGATGGTACTTTGTTGCATAACTTGGGAGGAAAGCTTCAGCCATAGCCTTGATATATCATTAGCATGGGAGGCCATCAGTAATAATGAAGGTGGATGGCAAACAAATGATTAAAATCTAAGATTAGATGGCATTTGGAGTCACTGTAGTGCCAGAAGCACCATTAAAAGAAATAAAACTAACAAGCTCCCAAACACTTAATGATCACAGATGACAGTGTCTTCAACAGCATTTCCTGTCTTTTCCACCCTTTAGGCAAAGTGGCATTAACAGCATGGCTACCAAATGTTTTCCTAAGCTACATTTTATCTCTGGTACTTAAATTTCCCATAAATTTTCTATCAAGTACAGGTGAAACAATCTTTACTAGATGCACTGCTTAAAACTGTGAAGCAGTCTGTGACTCATCAGGTGGACTTCTGATTCAAATAATATTAAGAAACGTAGGTAACCTCATCAGTTGGAAGGGATCTTGACAAATCACAGCTTTCAAAATTTTCTTACATTAGCATATATATACATATATATCTATGAGTTTCTAAATATTCATTTCAGGTATAAAGGTAGACATAGTAGTAAATTACAGGCATAGGAGATAAGTATTCTTTTTTGCCATGCTGAGAAATAGATAAAAAATTTTTCTTAAACATACAGTCTTAAAAAAGTTATCTAACAACACAGCTTTCAAATAATGCATAGTATGAAAACTCTGCAGAGATTTATATCATGTTTGGGTTTGTGGGTTTTTTGTAATCAAAGTATCTTCTCAGTGGAAACGTTGATTACCCTTCGTACCAAACTGACAGCAAACCAAATTTAGTGCTCTCTTTATATCCACAAGATGGTGTAATTTATCCTTATCTGAGATGGTGGTTTAGAACATGGTTTCCAAGTTTGGAAAAAAATAATGATACAAAAAAGAAAAATCAATTCACTTCACTGGGTGGAAATATGTGCCTGGTGTTAAAAATACCATCTGAAATGCCTGAGTTCAGAGTGGGGCTTATAATTACTGCTTGCTTGAAGTGCGTCATGACAAAGGGACCACTGCTCCAAATGTTTCTGCTACTGTTTTTTAAAAGGTTTTGCATCACTATTCAGTTTAGCAGGAGAACTCTGACAGTGACTACTCCCTCCTTTGATGGGGACAAAACCACCTACACTGACTTAAGTCTCAACAGATTACAGTGCAAGAAAGAATTGCAGCTACTGGTGAGTGGCAAAAAGTAACGTACTCTGCAGTTTGTCTTATCTAGTGTAGTATTCAAGACCAGAACAAGATGATTCTTGCTGTATGTATACTGCATTACATTGGGTAATTATACTAATCTATAAAATGCTCTTTTCAAATTTTTTATCCTCTTAAGCTTAACCGGAAACTTCCTTCTGCACGCAGTTGCTCAACTTTCTCCAGCATCATCTCCTTAGAAAGTAAGTAACAGTGTAAATTTAAAGAACTCCATGGAGGAAGATCCAGATTTTTAAGGAGTTTTCTTTATTTGACTCATTAAAAGAGAAGGTAAGTCAGGGTGCCCTTTAAATAGAGAATCTGTAGAAACACAGGTCTCAATTTGCCTCTAAAATGATGGTGTTCTACTATATAATCCAGAAATTAGATTATTGGCCCGGGTTTAGAATTTCAGCTCCACTAAACTGCCTGAGATTTCACTATTCAATATTACTTGGAAGACTGAAAAGTAGTAAAAGGTATGGGGAATGGAAGGACAAGCTATACTGGTGAAAGTTCCTAAAGCTCCCTAAAACTGGCAACGAAAAAAATCACTCCAAAGACAAGGCAAGTAAATGGAGATAAGAACACACATTTCTGAGTTGTCAGGGTTTCTCCAGGTGAAAAAAGCCCTGTGCTTCAGAGTTTCAAAAAGACAGAAACAGGTTATAGTGGAATTCTGTATATTTATTCTTTCAGGATCCTGGAAGAAGCAGACATATGTTTGCAGAGAATACGTTTGGTTCCTTAGCCAAAAACTGGAACTTTCAAATATTCTGACTGTTATAAATCCTTACAATTTAGAGACCATATCAGTACTCCTTATCAAATTATTATGTCTACTCCAAAAATTGCCTCAAACTCAGTCAATAATAACAGACCTTTCTCATCTCAAATTATGTTGAAATAATTAGAGTCTGTATTTTGCATAGCACCACTTAGCCAACCTGCAGTAACTCAGGTCATATATGATAGAGGGCACATACATCACACCACCTAGTTTTAATGTTGTTTCCCACACTGTTTTATAAACTGTTAATTTTTTTTTTTTGCACATAGTTTTGCAAGATCATTAGAACAGTTTACCAAAATTCTCTGTTCTTCATTCTAGACTCAACTGCTTTTACAAATTAATTTCTTTCATTACAATATTCTTATTTTCAAAAGTGAAAAAAGTTTCTAAGCAAAAATTAATTTTCTGACTAAAAATTAAATAAAGATTTCAAGTTTGAACTTCTTCTCAATTGACATGGCAGAGGGGGATAAAAGATCTCAATAACTGGGACACCAAGAAATATAATTTACTTTAACTCTGTGACAGAGAAGAACTGCAGTCTCATGCAGTAGTGCTGGATTCTTTATGACTCCTTCTGAGTTACCTGAACTAACAGAGTTGATGCCACAACTGGGACAAGGAAAAAATAAATAAAAAAACGCCACCATCTAACTACAGGCATTTAGATCTAAGATACCCAAACTGAGGATGATTTACATCCTGAACAGAGTCAGGGGATGTTGGGGCCTTCTCCATTGACTACAAAGGCAGCTTGAAACAGCTAACTTTGTAACTTGGTTACATATGTTGGTTACATATATAAAGCTAAGTGGGTTTAAACCCAGCAAATCGCTCTGGTTGACCCCACAGTGACAAGCTAAGAAGAGGTACACGTAAAACTTGATAAAGATGACTATTTCCAGTGATTAGTCATACACACACACATGGTTCAGACAGACCTTTTTTGTTTAAAAGATACTACAAAGAGAGATTTGGTTAATAACAAGGTACCATATTTTCTTTTTAAATAGAAAGAAGACAGATAAGAAAGAACTCTGAAACAAACAAACAACAACAACAACAAAAAACCCAAACCAAAACCATACAACAAATACTCACAGATGATCTAACTTCTTACCAAACAGGACAAAACACTGTTGGTACTAAGGACTGCTCAGGAAATGAAAACTTGACTAACAGTATATTTTTGCTGTAGGAATTTGCTATTGTTGCCCTATTGCAGATGAGAAGGGACAGGACAGAAATGATCTCATTACAATGGAGTTTTAATTATCAATAAGTTTGCAAACCCTTCTCCTCTAACAGAGAAGAAGCAAAAGCACAAACTAGGCAAAGCTAAAGTCTCAACAAAAAATTCTTAAAAATCCAAAGTGCCACAAAACTCTTATTAATATCTTATCATTACCTTTTAAACTTACCTCTATAAAGCCCAAAGAAACCTTCATAACGTAGCACTTTCTTGAAGCAATCAAAGCTGTTTTTATACATAAGTTCACCCACAAAAGAGCCTGTAGAACGCTGGTTTTGCATTCGAGTTTTTACCAAATCAATTGGGTAGACTGCAGTGGCTCCAACAGCTGCAAATAAAAATCAAGGTATTGGAAAACATGAGTTTGCATTTGCAGTGTTTGACTGCAACCGTCATCTTTCACATTTACATCTAACATATCAGTTGTATCTTTTTTCTCCATGATACATTCTGGATATGTTAAAATACCTCTCACAGTTTTAACCTAAAAGTACTTCCTGACCCTACCTCACTGTTAATTGCATTCTCCTGAAACTTGTTTGGTGACAAATCTGATAGCAACACCACCTGGAAACTCCAATGGCTCATAAATTCCAAAACTCTTGCAGACCAAATGATCTTATATGATATTCAATCTTATAGCCATCCCATCCCTTAGACACAGCTCCAAGGGCAAGTCTGAGAAGCCTTCTACATTAAATGAGAGGGAGAAGGGGAAGAGGGGCAAAGACAAAGAAGAAAAAACCCAAGCAGAAAAGATGAATCTTCTTTTGCTCAGCCATGACTAACCTCCAGCAACTGAACCAAGGGCAAACCTGTACGCTGATTCTGCAATCTGGATGAGAACAGGTCGAGACGCATCGCCTGAAGCTTTCTGTCAGGGCAGGATTTAAAGCAAAAGGAAAGACAAGAAAAATAATCAGAACATCATATTTCACAAGAGAACATCTCGTGAGCAGATAGATCTAAGTATACAGATAGCTGGAAAAAAATCCCACAGCACACTGGAGATCTTGTTTGCAATTATTATTTCTTTTTCACTGATTTATAAGTGCTATATAACGCAGCCTCTTCAGACGGGAATAACAAAGAAAATAGACTGATACTACAACAAAATTATACTACTCTAAAATCAATGGTCTAAATGTGATCTAAATGAGGACATACATATTGCATCTTAAGTCATTAATTTTCTGCAGCTAAAAGCAACTCCAGTTTGGAATTTCTTTCTACTGTCACCAAAACCAGGTATACTTATTACTTCCCAGGCTATCAAAACAAGTGTGCAAGCACTGTTCATACGTATTAGCTAAAGGAAAATAAAGTTTCGTAAAACACCCCCACAATTTCATTTTGTTCACAGTCTATGAGTGCTAGATTCAACCCAATGAAAAATAAATTTCAGAAGTGCTCCAGATTTAAAATTGCTATCTGATGAAAGAAAATAATAAGGAAAACAGAACTTCTGCAGGGGCTATAAACCTTCCATACTTACTATCACTTTTTGTAATATGTTGTTTTTAGGATACTACAAGTAAAAGGACAAAATAAAAATATGGATATATTTTCCTGAAAAGGTTTTAGTTAATATTCCAATGTAGGTGGAATTGGCCAGAAAATAAATTGAAGGTATCAACATACTGAAAATCTTTTCAGTCTCAGCAACAAACAGCTGACATTAAGAAAGAACTGGATGGGAAAAATGAAAAGGTAGGACACATACGCAAAAGAAATGGTAAGATTTAAGCATGTTCATATGTTCTAGCCTCTTAGAACAACGTAAATCATACTAGCAATGACAGTGGTCCCAAAGCAGAAACTGAGGAAGGTGTTACTTTCATCACCACATTTTTGGCTACATTTTACCGCCACCTATTGTAACCTACATTACTTGATATTCAGCCCAATGCAAATGCTTTTAACTCCTTTAGGAGTCTTCTAGGAATAGATGGTGAGCTTTTGGAAGCCAACTCATCTGAATTCATCCCAGCATCATCAACATTTAGTCACTGCACAAACAAACCACCACCCCAGATACTGTCTTGGAGTGGTGGTGGGGGTGTTCACATGTAGGGGAGGGAGGAGAAGAAAAAAGAGAGGCAAAAGAGACGCATGTGTACACACACACACATAGAGGCCTGGCTTATGGCCTGGTAGTCCTAAAAATGTAGCCTACATCAACTCATTGTGGTCAAACTGGCGCCTCTGCACAGACCCAGAGCAGGAAAAAAGAAAACCAACAAAAAAACCCTTGGTCTCACAAGACACAAAGTTAAGACTGCCTTAAAATAGAGACAGAGAGAAACAGAAGGGTTAGTTTTAAATCTATCTGTACAGAAACTTGTGTCAAGGAAAATCTAAAATATGATAAAATAATATGAAAACTAAAAGATCAACAGGTTTGACATTTAAAGAACACTACTATTTCTTTTTGCCTCAAACACAAAAAAAGGTTCATTTGTGGTTATACCACTGAAAGTAAATATCCCATAGGTTTTAGAAATGCAAAGAATAATAATGCTTCTACTAAAACTGTGATGTTAGTCTACACGTAATCTCTCCTATTTTGATATTCAGCAGATCATAAGGCAAAGCAGAGAACATTCTGAAGCCAAGAACATGCATGTATATTCAGAACAAGGGCTGCCATTTAATTGGCTAGATACTGAATTTTACCATCCATATTTGAAGCAGGAAGTCTCTTTTCCTCGTTAAAAAGAACAGAGAGCAACAGAATCACAAAACATAAACACCTTAATTAAGTATACACCTAATATTTAGTGAATGGTGGAATGACACTCCTATACATTTTATCTTTCCAAAGTAAATTACATCTGACCTATCAAAATACAGCCCAAGAGAAAGGGGCACAGAGAAGAGATGGAAAGAACGTAACACAGGTTAAAAATAAATTCGAACAAGATGGTATTCCTCATAGATATTGCAAAGCACAAGAGAAAAGCAACTTAGATGACAACACGGAAGAAAGCTGGTTATCTATTTACCTGGAATTGGAAACAAAAAATAGCTTCTATTCTTACCTGCCTCTGAGCCTCTGCCAGGTTGTAGGGCAATGTCCCTTCCTCCAGAGGAGCAATTCTTTCAATATCAGCTAACGTCATGCGCCTGAGGAAATTAGTTCAGCTTAGTGTTTGCTTAGAGATGGCTTTTCAGATCTCAAGAAGCTACCCACATGTGGCCACTACACTACACTCTCCTGTTCCCCAACATCACTTTCCACTCCTCCCAAGAACTAGAGAGGACGAAAGGAAAGAGAGGAAGATAGATAATTCTTCACTTACCCCCGTGGCTCATAAAGATCTGCTAACTGAAACAAGATGTCAACTTCCATGGGTGTAACCTGACCAAATTTCTGAGCTGCCAGAACAAACTCCTCTGCAACAGAATAAAAACAGAAAAGAAAATGCAATCAAACCAGAAGAAATAATCCAGAGCACCCCGAGGTTGCTCTATATTTTAGTATAAAGTACAAGAGGCTGGCTGGAGGGGGTAAAAGGGGAATAAAATTGACCCAACACAAAAGTGTTTTTGCCACTACATAAACGTGTGATTTAAATGCTCTGTTCTTCACGCAAGAAAGTACAGCTCTCTGGTCTTAAAGCTTAGTGCTGCCAGCAGGATTTAGAATATCTGACATACGGTATCAATCAGTTGCAGGTCAGAAGGAAAAAATAAAATAAAAAGCAAACAAAAAAAACCCCCCAAAACAGGAGTCAAGGGATGTGGAACTTTTCATGCATAGTCCCAGTAGGCCACATTAATGAAACTCTGGCATTGCACAGGGAATTCTCTATAAAAGTGGTTAGGTATAGGAGATAACATCTTGTTCCAAGCTTGTAGATCAGCTTACTGTGCCGCCAATACAAGTTTATGGAATTCTTCAACTACCCTTGAAGGTCACTTTAATAGGCTGCCAATTTGGCAGGAGTCCTAGGAAGTTTTTGAAACTTTTAAATATCTTTTACATACTTTCCTCACCCTGCCCCCACCACCAGTTTACTTGGATGTTTTCCTGATTGAAACGAAATGAAAAACCTGGAGGGTGGACTGCAACAGGAGTGTACAAAACTGAGTGGAAAACCAAGGAATGCTAATGAGACAGGATTTTTCCCCTTCCCATTGATTTAAAAGCATAAAGATGAGGTCTTTCCCTCCATCCACCCCAACCAAATGCCCAAGACTTCCAGACTGTAAACATTTCTACCAACCCTTAGTGACTTCCACATCTTTTCTATTTCCAGCCAGAGTACTGTAGATCTTTCTAATGAGCTCCATGTTGTTAAGGAGAGAATTAAATCCATTAAAATAGGAAAAGCTGACCTGATGGGAAGTGGTACCTCCAGCAGCCTGGAGTAGAGACAGTAAAAGAAGAAAAAGGAAAGGAGACTGTTACAAGACTAAGAAAAATATCAAAATAAAGGTTTTCAAATGTTATTTTACAAGAACAACAGTAGCACAGGCTTGCTTTTTTAAAAAACCTGCAACATAAAGAAAACTATGAAAGATTCTTATGTTACTGAAACTAATCATGACCAGAATATAAAAATCCCCCGTCCTACAAATCTAAACAAATACATATGCAGGATTATAACAAAATAACTAGTAGTAATTTACAAAGTTCAAGTTTCAGAACTGCTTCACTTGGAAATGTTTCATAAATTGGTTTATTTCTTCTAATGAGGAAATCTACTTCTACATGTAAAGCATATTACTATACAGAAAATTTCAACAAAATTAAAACATATTCTGAAAAAGGTTGACTGAAACATTTCAATTCACAGGCATTTCAAGTCACGGAAAACCAGCAATAAGCTCTCAGGCTTATATCAGGCAGTCAAACATAATGGGAACAAGGTTCAAACAGTTATTCATTCTCAGGTGAGAACTGAACCTAAACCTTTGTTTTAAAGTGGTGTTGGGTATGCACATAGAAAAATTACTGGATTAATTCTCTACTTAAATTACAAGATCAGTGATGAAGCAGATTTCAGAAAAAAAATGCATAAGCTTGCCAAAATTTAACTGACCTTGAGAGAAAATCAAAAATCTTATCTGATGTTTTATGAGAGAGCATATGACCTGAGAAAGTTGATAACAAGACTGCGAGGGAACCATGGAAGTATCAGATCTCACTGTCAGTCCCTAAGTCTTCTGGCTATGTGTTTTGCTGTTTGCATCTTCCAAAATTCCGGTCAGACTTTTCAATTCTCATCACTTCACACAATTCCCTGGAATTCTTCCTTGCAAGTCAAAGAAAAACAGATTTCTTTAAACCTGGATATGGCCAGCCTGTGCATTACTTGGAAAGTGCTGCTACAAGTTCCTAAGATTAGAAACTGTGGTCAAAGCCAAATGTACCTTTTTTAATTTCTTCAGTGAAATTGCAGAATTGCAATATTTAATTCGGTTTGTGCACTTTAAACTGATACAAAATATACAGTCAAGTGTAACAAGTCAACATATGGTGAATGCCTTTGGGTAATGTTCTTGTTCGTAAGTTGTCCAAGGCACTTGGAAATGACACTCAGGAGCTTAGAATGTACATTACAAACCAAGTTCTTTGAGGAGGATATCCTAAGTGGGATGCAATGGCATTCGGACATACTGACACAGTCTACTATGATGGAGTGACTGTAAATAGCCAGGAAAATGCTAATTTTTAGGCCATTATCAAGGTCCATCTACATGCTTTGTCTTTGAGTTAACTTGCATATGTGTAGATAACTACAGCTGAATTTAAAACACGCATCCTTGAGACAGACTGCATATCACATAGAGTGGTCAAGGTACATAAAAAAGGAACCCCACATCTGTATTCCAGGTCTTTGCCAGCTGGGATACCAGAACTACTCACAGCCACTAGACATTCTTCCACAAATGGCGTCAGCATGTGCGGCCGGATAGTGACCATAATGTCCCTGAAGTCCATAGCTGTGACTCTTCCGGACTGAGCATTGTCTCTCTGTACAAAAGCTTGTTTTGCATGTTCTAACTGTATCTCCTGAAAACATACAGGGAAAAAAATGGTTAAATTCAAAATCATCATCTTAACACCTTGATTTAATATAAATAATGCAGTCCTACAAGATCACTCATACTTAACAAAACAGGACTACAATTAATCTAATTTTAATTGGATATTGTACATCTAAGTATTCAATTTCTTTTCTATCAGGAGCATATATGGTCTCCATTATTGAACTCAGTATCTAGGATGACAACATGATTTCTTTGCCTTCTAGACATTATGTCGGGCAATTAATTTAACTGAGAAATGGAGGACACACATCAACACTCCAGTGCAGATAATCTCCCACTCATGAACATTAAAGTGTTCCATGATGTGCATTATCCAGTTTATTGAATGTGTCACAGCAGGTCAAAATACTTTCTGTAAAAGCGCTTGCTACTCCTTGAATGAGGACAATGCAATCATCAGAGATTTCCATGTAGAAACCAACTAATCTGGAAAGCATTCCCTCAAAAAGCATCCCCATTTAAAACATAAAGTTTTTTGTCTACAAAAGACACCAGCAGTTTAATTTAGAACTCCTTGTATTGAGACTGATTAAAGATCAGTTCTCAATATTTCAACAGTAGTAACGGGCATAAGCATTATCTGATACAACCTCCCAATAATCTCATTTTGTGATTCAAATGTACCACTGAGAGAAAAAAAGGAGAAAAAAGGCATTTAATCTCTCAAAGCTGTATCTTTCCTACCGTGACCTTCACCCTTCTTCTTAAATTACTGTTAGACTACTTTTCTTTACTCTCATTTAAAAGAAACAACCAAGCACAGACAGTAACTTGATAATACATGTGAACTTTTGTCCAGTTCTGCAGGTTTGCAAAAAACAGAAATATATCTCTTGGTATGTAGTTCGAGTTCCCAATCTGTATTTCTCAGCTGAACGGAGGAAAACAAATCATTGTCATGTCCTCCCTTTAAACTGCAGGGATTATAAAAATCCAATTTCTAGAGAAGAATAATCTAAATTCTTCATTGGAAATATAGCGCTAAGTCTGAATACATGTTCATAATCAGTTACTCAGAAAATGGAATCAGAGCAAAAACACGTCAGCAATACTAAGCAAGTCTTGTGGTGGACCACGACATTATCCAATTATTTCCATTATATTTGCAAATATATGCCTTAAAAGACATGTTAATCCAAGACTCAGGCTAGTCAAGAACCACCATCATGTTGTATTCATAGTGAATGTGATCGCCTGTATTTGTCTCACAGCAGCCTTCAAGGAAATTAAGAGTGAAAGGCAAAAGGCAAATTCAGACAGAGTAGGATCAGACCTGCCAGAGACCTGCATCTGCCTCTCCCTCCCTCCTTCCATTCATTCAGCTCATGCTGCCACTCAAACCATGATCGTCTTTTCATTTGCTTCCTGACTCCCCCGATTTTGGTTCTAATTTCTAATTAGAACACTGTACCATGACCTGAAAGGTACAATGAAAACCTCCTACTACATTAGGCAGAAGAAGGAATGGAGTGCAGGGAAAGGACTGATCCATATTTCACTCACAAAATTATTCAGAAATTTCTTCTTTTGATGGGAAATGCTTGTGGGGGTTATAATTCGAAGTGGTACAATTTCTGTTCTGCCACATTTCTTTTACATTACAGACCCCTACCTGGAGGTGTTACAATTCAGCAATAATACTCTGGCTAGATACAGCCATGTAAGCTCTTACTTCAATTCATTTGAGACTATAATTTGAACAGAAATTTGGAAGCAAGCAATTTTGGAAGGTTTATGATGGATGAGCACATGAACACAAAAAGACTTTGTCAGCTTAAGGCAAGCAGCTACTTTGGAGGCAGAGAGTTCTGAAGAGGAGTTAGGTATAAAAACTCTTGTATCCTAAATACTCGTCACCTGGTAGGTGTTTGTCATTAAATGGAAGCATCACCAAAGAAAAAATAAATTTAATTTAGCAACAGGATTATATGGGAAACTCTGATTATTGCTTTCTTCTCCTTCCCTCATTCTATTTGCTTTAACCACTGAAACTGCTGGTAGTTTTTATGCTTGAATCCAGCATTAAGATGCAGTAAAACAACGCGTACATCATTTGCGGAAGTCCAGTCTGTTACCATCCTGTAGACCCCTCAGTGAGTTTGGAGATATGTATGCCATCGGTGGGACCTTGGCTGACAATAACATCTCAGCCACAGAGCAAAGTAGGGCTCACACTCCAAAGAGACAAGTTAAGTGCATGTTTCTCATCATCACTCAGCTAATTGCAAAAAGGCTACTAGTACTACAGTAGAGCACTAGCCAAAACAACACCTCTTCTCCTTGCTAACATGATTCTCTTCAATCTTCTTGGTACAGGTGGAACCCACTAGAAAGAATTATCCCGCTTGGTTAAAACATCTGGTCAAGGACTCAGTGCTGCCATTTGCTCATCTTTTTGTCAACCAGAAAAAAGCCATTTAGCTGCAGACAGACAGAAAGACAAAACTCCAAATGGGATAATGTCAGTCTTCTGGAACTCCCTATTCACACTTCCTCCTTAGTTCAGAATCTAAGTTCCAGTTCAAATGGTTCAAGCATACTGCAAATAGATAGAGAAGATTGACTCTACCTTCTCAGAAGGGTAGAGACCTTTTAGGCTACAGTTATTTTGAGCAATGCTACACGTTTTCCACTTATACCAAGTGGAAAGAAGCAAAGGGATCTTAAAGCCAGCTGACATTTCCAAACCATGACCATGGATGGCAGCATGGCATACAAGAACATGCAGACCACTACACTGTAACACAGTCTCAAAACTAAATTTCACCTATAAATTCTGTCACAAACAAGCCAGACATGTCACTTTTCTAATCACGGCACTATGCATAACAATGTACTAAACTTCTTGAAGTGTTTACCTCAAAAGAAAGACTATCCCTTCAGCCTTCACATCTGAATGCCGAGACGTTTCAAAATGAGGCTCAGTAGCTACCAGCAATTTATCAGGGAATTCTTTATGAGATGTTTGTAACATCACCTGTGTTGTGTGTATGCAGCTAATATTAAAAAACCTCACCTTAAAAATAAACTGAAAAACAATAAAGCAAAGCTGTAGTCTTCAGAGTTGCTGAGCTGCAACAATTTTTATTGTTTCATTGTTTTATTGTTTCACCTATTTCAGTCCCATACTGTTTACTGTTTACAGATTAAGGTTTAAAGAAACACAGTCCTCATTACTTTGCAATACAAATCACACATCCTAAAGAACCTTCTCCAACTAGACTTTCTGTAAACTGAGATATACATAGAAAACGAGCTTCTTCCTTGATGTTGAAAGTCTAGAATTCCCCTAGGTAGCATATGACTTTGTGAAAAATTAATTTGTACATCATGGCAGGCATGCTGGCACCAGAATTTTAATGAAATTATATCCTATCTAGAGATTTCACCTCAGCTTCCATTTATCGCTCATTAAAAGCTTCTCTACTTTCCACTTAGGTAGAAATTTATGTTTGCGTTCCATCCCAATGGATCTACAAGTCACCAGGTACAGCACAATCCTTGCCACTGGAGTAGATCCCAGGGTTCAATTATAGAGAGTACTACTTCATCAACTAATACACTGGGCATCAATAAATTCCCAGACAATGTGGAAATGGATTTACCAGGCCCACATATAAGCATATGTTAAAGTTCATCCTGTGGAATAGATTTTACACACTGAGAAAGGGGCTGATGTTGCTCTTCATAAGGCAGACGTGCCACTTAAGTGATGATGGAACATGACCATATCCAAACAGATGAGAGGGATATATACTGCAGATACATGAGCTAATTTTAAGCTAGCAAAATGAGAAGCAAGGTAAAACAACATACCTTGAGCTCTAAGTTGATGCAAATAGATTGTTAACTGTATTAGAGCCAAGGAATTTGGAGACTATACTTTCAGGCATCTCTGTTACTGCAGACAGAAAAAGTGCTGGCAGGATATAAATATTCAGAATCCCATACAAACTCTTCTTATTTAAAGCCACAAGAGATCCATCTCGTGCATGGATAAAACATACTAATTTTGTTTTCCAAGTACCTTCAGCATTGCCAGAAGCAATGATTAGCTCAAATGCTGCAACAGGTATCGAACATGAATGTAAAAGCATTTGAATCTAGCTAGATTATTACATTAAAATTTGCAAACTGCATTGTACTTACAAAGCAGTATCTGAAGCACCATACAGAACCGTCAGGTCCACATTAAGTGCAATGTAAAGTGCATTCACACATCAGGAATGCAGAAAGGTAATTTGCTATCCCCTGTGGTCTCCTGTTGTCTAAGGTCCAAGGTCTAGACACCAGACCAAGAATACTGACTCACGCACAGGCAGAATGTCAGAAGGAAAGGCGGAATACCAAAGGTTACAGAGCTTAAAGGAAGACTTCTATGCCTGTGAACACTAACTCTCCAACTTGTGCTGAGAACCATTTCTGCGCCCAAACTTCTGCATCTATAATAAAATGCCGCAAGGCAAGAATTAGCAGGGAAACTTATGTGATTCAAAGATTTAAAGAAAGCAAGTAAAAAGATGTACCCAGTTTCTGGGACTGATTGAACATCCTAACAGACTGTACTGATAGAGGGCATCTTCAACAATCTTAGGAGAATTAATTTATTTGAAAGTCCTTGCTGCCTGAGCATCTTTATTAGCAGCCTTAGAACTTATCCTGAGTGCATCTCACCTCTCTCTAAAGGACACTCAGAATTATCATCCTCATTCCCCAGGTTTATGTTCTTCCTCCCTCTTTCTTGTCCTACACAGATGATCACCAAAAGGGTTGTCTGGCTTACGAGGATCACTGACATGTTCCAACATAACCTTTTACTCTGCCCTGAAACTAGATAAGATTCACTTTTGCAGTTTAAAAAAAAAAGGAAGCAATGGCAAGACACACCAAAATGAAATACAGCTAGCCCCAAAATATGATCACATCCAAAAAAAGTCCTTTCAGATAGTAGAGAGAAACACCCCTTCGCAGGATGAGAAAGCCTAGTAGTTGGGATTCATTTCCAAAGCTAGAAAGCTGGGAAGATATTCTAATTCCTTATTCTATCAGAAAACCAGTCTGTGCCTTAGCTACTTAGGAGTTACAATAGTCAACCTGAGGAAATACAATTTAATCATGTGATACCTGACGTCCCCTTCATACAAAGTTAATTAGGCTCCGTTCTACAAAGTCAATTTGAAACATTTGTCTCAATAGCATTATCTTAATTATTCCTCATCAAAATGATACCACCTCCTACTGTGAACTAACATACTTGTGTAAACAAGAAAAAAAGAAACCTTGCAATCTTGAAGCAGGTTCCCATTTTAAAACTCTCTAGAGTAAATACTAATACAGGTATTAATTAAATATTCAGGAGGCATTCAAATAAAAACTCACGTGTTTCACCATTTCAAGGATCACTTTTCCTACTGAAAACTATTTTTAACAGTGCTGTTGAAATACAGATAGTCTATTTTTTATTAGCATAATATTTTACTTCCTGTAACAAAGTATCCACAAGTATGAACAGGCAAGAATTCCTTGCAAAAAAATAGCATTTTACTCTCTATATACCACAAGCAAACTAAGTAGCATTGCCCTATCTGAGAGTGTGTGGAAATGGCTTGCAAAAAAACATTTTTATTGGATATCAGCTCTGAATTAAATATATGTTTGGTACACATGCTGTTTACAGACAAAAGTACTTCTTAATACTAGTCTAGCAAGTGAGTCCAAAATGTTCAGTAGCATTCTTTGACTCATAGATTTAAATAAACAGGAGATTTTCAGACATAAAAGTCTAGGATTTTAATTTCATGTCTCTGTCTACACAACAGTGTAGAAAAAAATCACCTTCTGCATTCAGGTGCCAAAAACAAAGAAAAAGGAGAAAACCTCCAGCTAGCCTGAAACACCAATTTTACCAATAGCATATCCTATTTATCAACATACCATACACATCCAGCACTCTGACTGTAAAAGCCTACATTTGGTCTATATTTCAACTTTCCTAACAGCACAGTATTTGGCAAGTTTGCAAATACTTCTTGCATCCTTCTTATTACTCTTGAGAAACTGTATTGTATTAGACCCACCAGTAAAAACTGAGTGAACTCCGCATATGTTAGGTGTCTTTTTCTATCCTTTCCAAAATGCAGCTGTATGAACTCTGAATTCCAGTTAAACGGAATGTGCTGATGAATTGTGGTCTGGCCAAAAACTTGCTTAGCATCCTCTGGGAAGAAAAGAAAAATGTTCATTTAATAATAAAATAAAACAACAATAGAGACAAGCATATAAACAAATACGATATTTTGTAACAGGAAAGCAATACTGCTCTTATAAATTACTAACATATTGTAAAGCAAACTTATTTTTTTTTGTTTACCAAAACCATCAAAGCCATCACCCTCACAAACAGTTTCTGAATAATCTTTTTATTTGTGAAGTTTTATACACACAGCATTTGATTAGAAGAAACGCATATATTTCAAGTTTAAAAGCCAAGCAAGAAAAGATTAAAATTAAAAGACAATTTATAAAAAGATGACTAAAGCTAGCCGATTTTCAGCACAATCTTTTCAAGCTGCTAACAATGAAAGTTTTGTGTCACTATAATTCAGCCATTTGAATTATTCTCAGAGTTCTCCACATTCAAACAAATCAACTGTACAAAAATACAATTATTTCAAGATCCACTTTTCTGTAGTTAGTTACAGGAACAGTAACATGTGGGACAGGGGATGGGGGAGACATGGCAGGCTGGAACAAAATCTTATCATCACCTCCAGCACTAGCAGACTTTAACCCTAAATATCTTCTACAAGGAGGGGGGCAGTGCAACAAGTATGTTTGATCATACCAAAATGCAAGCTTCAAAGTTTAGTTCAGGTTAGTAGTCATAGCTGGTTTATAAAACACTCTGCAGACCAGTATCACTCAGCAGTTTTAGTGAAGAAGCAACTATTCCATACACACCAACCTGTACAGTAATAAGGACCATACAGCGTGTATATTTAAATAATGAAAACAGCAATGAGATAGCAATGAGATCTGAGGAAGTACTTGTCTCAAATGAGAGTGCCCACTTCAATGTGATAGTCTCGTCTCTGCCAAAAATACAGAGCAAAGATATGTTCCAAAGACAAGTTCAAGGCCAGAGGTTCCCAGCTGCTATACACCTTCTTAATTGCTGTACAACTCCTCCAGCAACACCAGCCAAGAGCCAGTTCTTGTCTCCTGCTAGTTCCTATGGGCACAGAGAGCTGGTTCCCAGGAGACACTCCCTACCCACAGGCTGGGCCATGAGCTGCTCTGTTCCCTTCACGCTTTGTGGAAGAAAGACCAGGAGTCCAAACCACGAGCTCCTGTCTGTCTCTGTGAGCAGCAGAACTGCAATACAGTTCCCAAGCATGGCTGGTGCCTGGGGTTGAGAAAATCAGCACAGCTTTGTGTTTGCCTGTGTGCAGAACAAGCTGGGAGCCACCTTGCTGGAGCCAGTCTCTGACTGGGAGCCACCTTCCAGCTCATCCCAGCGCCACAAGCAAAGGTGGGAGCTGACTCCTTGGGGCCATGAGGTTGCCTTTCCTGTGCACATTGAGTTCTGGCTTCTTGTTCAGCCCATGCCAGCCAGGCACAGCAGCTCTGCTGACCTGGGAAACCCAAACAGTGTGGAATCCCACATTTTAAGCAAGAAAGCAGGAAAAAGTGAGAGCAAGGTTGCACAGCTGAGAGCCAGGAAGATCTCAGGAAGAGCCGACATGAGTGAAGAATAAAGACATAGGAAAAAAGGGTCCCGAGGAAATGAAAGGGGCAAGTCTCCTGTTGCACAGATCCTAATGCCCTGCAGTTGGTGTTACCCACAGGGATAGCTTGTTCTGAAGCAAGAAGACTTCACAGAGAGAGCAAAGACAAAAGTGCAGACCTCTTCCCATCTCTCAACATAGTCAATAGTTTCACCTTTACAAATACAGCACCCACTGATCCCAGGGAATCAGTGGTGAAAGAGCAAGTTGGATTTAACTTACAAACAGAAAGACTGACCCCAGTTAGCCTCAAATTCATAAAACTCGTAACTTCAAGTCCTAATGTACTATGAGAATTTTCTCCAGGCAAAGTCAGTGCCCCCAGGACAGCCTCATTGTTCATTTGTATCTTCAAGCCCCATCCCAGTCAGCTTGGATATTGTCTGCCAGCATTCTCCAGAAGCAAAATTCTGCTCTCAAGGCAGTGGGAGGGAAAGTCTATTTGTTAAGGGTGAGGTCCTGTCCTTCTACTTGAAGTCTTTCATTTAGGATGCTTCCCACTGACACAGCCTGAGGCACATTGCCACATGTCATTGAAGATCACACCTGCTTTTTGCCAGATTTTCTACAAAGAAGGCAACCAGAATGAAGAAAAAAGCCTGTCTTGCCAGCAAACAAGAGGAAATGAAGATTGTCTTTTCCTAGTAGTAACCACTCTGCTTTTCAGAGAAATAAAGATATTCCCAAAACATCTCTGTCACCTGTCTCTGCAGAGAAATCAGATGCTCATCTTCTTCCTCTTTCCTTCTCATCCCACCTTCAGAATTTCCCCGGAGCAAGACACTGATATTGTGTGGATTAGATTAGGAACCCATCACCATTAACCAAAAGCTATGTTTAGTTGGACTCCGACTTGCCTTTGTTAGAGAAAAATGGCACATTCTTACCTGATGCAAGGTAAGAGAGAACAAAAACTTAGCTAGTATAAAATCAGTCTCAAATTCCTTTTGATGCAGCCAGGCTCCACACAATCTTTACTTCAACTTGTTAACATATGAAAGTTGCAGACTGTCCTTTGATTATGCCACTGTAATTTTATTTTAGTTTGTTATCATACATTAGCCACTTTAAAGGAAAAATGCATCTTGCTCCCCCAGCTCTATGTCTTGTAAACCCTCTTTGGTTGGGGCCCTAAAGAAATATTCCAGTTCAAGAAAATCAAACATAGAATCATAGAATGGTTTGGGTTAGAAGGGACCTTAAAGATCATCCCATTCCAACCCCTCTGCCACGGGCAGGGACACTTTTCACTAGACCACATTGCTTAAAGCTCCATCCAGCCTTGCCTTGAACACTTCTAGGAATGGTGCATCCACAACTTCTCTGGGTAACCTGTTCCAGTGTCTTACCACCCTCACAGTAAAGAATTTCTTCCTCACATCTAATCTAAACCTACTCTCTTTCAGTTTAAAACCATTCCCCCCTTGTCTCATCACTACATACCCTTGTAAAAAGTCCCTCTCCCTCTTTCTTGTAGGGTCCCTTCAGGGACTGGAAGGCCATAATTAGGTCACCCCGAAGGCTTCTCTTTTTCAGGCTGAACAATCCCAATTCTCTTAGCCGTTCCTCATAGGAGATGTGCTCCGACCCTCTAATCATCTTGTTGTCCCTCCTCTGGACTCAGTCCAACAGGTCCATGTCCTTCCTGTGCTGGGGACCACAGAGCTGGATACAGCACTTAATCCACAGCAGGTGGAGACCCACCAGAGTGGGCAGAATCACCTCCCTCAACCTGCTGACCACACTGCTGATGATGCACTCCTGGATAAAGCTGGCTTTCTGGGCTGCAGACACACATTGTTGGCTTATGTCCAAACATCAAGTGAAAAGAATAGCAGTTTAGGACTAAATACAATGTTTAATTATTGGCATTATAAATGGCAAAGGAACCCACAGCAATGAAACTAAAAATCTCATCCATCCAATTAGGAATATAGTAAGGTCTATAACCAGGCCATTTGCATTTCCTTGTCTGTTTCAGAGATTAAAGGCTACAAGCTTGCCTCAGAAGTTCATGAAAGTACAAATACCCTCTAAACAGCCCAAGCCAGAGATGCACACTTAATTTTTGCTATGACTTGGAAAACACAGACTACCATATTAGTGTAGATATAGTAAGAGAACTCCACATGCTACTTGATGTTTTCACAATCATACTATATATTGATGTCAATATGACTTGGCAACTAATACCAGATGCTTTTCTGACAGAGTGCATGTTTGATTATACAGTGCGGGCAGCTGACTGGAAGATTGCCTACTGTGCTTCTACTGATTCTTTGATGGCATGAGACATGGTATCCTGTTTGCCACTGCCTTTTTACACATACCCTGTACTTCCTTTTTGCAACTATTTATGGTTCACAAACTCATATGCTCAATGAACAAACTCACATATGCTCAGTGAACAGTGTTTTTCCTCTTTCCTTGCTAGGTCTCATCACCCATTCATCTACTACAATGTCACTGCCTCAAGTCTCATCTGTAGTCAGATTGCCCAATTCAGACAATAAAGACCATTCATACCCCATGAACAAATCTGAAGTGTTTAGCCAGTGATTTGACTATCAAAAGGTATCCAAATACATATCAGAACTCACTCGAAGCTATTGTTCAGTTCTAACAGTATCATCTCCTGCTCATTTAAGTCCAGTATTAAAATAAAAAATGGACAAATAAAAATGCATTTTTGCATTATATCTGCAGCTGAAGTTCCACATAAGCCACTTAAAACAGCAAAACAGAGAGGCTGCAGTGTGCTTCAGTAGCCAGGAGTTATTATATCTTTTTTAAACGAACCTGTTTCAGAGAGCTACAGAATAATTTGTGATGAAAAGGACATCTGGTTGTCATGTGGTCCAGCCACCAGCCAAAGAAGGGTCAGCTAGATCAGGTTGCTCAGGGCCTTGGCCAGTTGAGGTTTGAATACCCCCTCAGTAATCTCTGACCCAGAAGACCAGGGTAAAGAAATGTCAGAAGGAAGATTTTCCCTTGGTCAAGGAGGACTGGGTTAGAGAACACCTAGGCAAACTTGACATCCACACGTTCATGGGCCCTAATGGGATGAATCCATGAGTGCTGAGGGAACTGGGAGCTGGCACCACAGCTAGCCTGCTCATAATCTTCTTTGGAAGATTTTAGTGATCACAAGAGACAACTGGAAGAAAGCAAATGTCACCCCAGCCTTCAAAAAGGGCAGGAAGGAAGACCCAGGGAACTACCAGCCAGTCAGCCTCACCTCAACCCCTGGACGGAGCACCTCATTCTGAGGCTATCTCTATCCACATGGATGACAAGAAGGAGTAGTCAGCAAGGATTCACGAAAGGTAAATCATCCTTGACCAACCTGATTGCCTTCTGTGATGAAACAACTACCTGGACGGATGAGGGGAGACCAGTGGATATTGTCTCCCTTGAGTTCAGCAAGGCT